AAGTATCAGGGGAATGCGAAGGATTTTCGCGCTCTGCCCCATTCAAACCTCCAACGGCTCTGAACAGAGACGTTGTTCTCACAGGGAAGAAGAAGGAGAGTCCACCCGACATCGTTTCACCATCAGCTGAAGACAGGAATCAAAGCGACATTGCTTCATCATCATCCGGAAAACAGAAGCAATGCGACGCCGTTCCAATGCCAACTCAAACGAAGACACAACACACGTGGAGTGACGTCGTTTCTGGCAAAATGCCACTTAGTCCTCAAACTTGTTAAAACTACTCTTTTCCTTTTTCGACTGTACTTGCTTTTCTTCCAAGCCTTGTCTTCTTACCTTGTTTTGTAAGGTTTCTGTACTGACTCACCATCTATATAAGCTGTGAAATGGAATGAGAAAGTCAGGGCTTTAGGGTTTGCTTGATCCATAACGTTGTTATGGTATCAGAGCCTGGTTCCTAGAGAACCCTAGCCGCCTCAAAACATGGCAGACAACGTTCAAGCTGCAGCCGAGAATGTTCAAGCCAATGTTGATCCTATGTCAAGGAGATGTGGTAAGAATTGCTGAACTCACTGAAGCTTTAAGCTGTTTGAAGCAAGGTAGTCAGTCTGTTATAGAGTACTATGGAAACCTAATTGCTATTAGGGATGAATTAGACAATTATCAGCCACTGCAACACTGTACCTGCACACCCAATAGTCGAGAAACATGTGTGGCCATGAGGGTTGTGTTTGCTTACAAGGAAACTAATTATGTTATCCAGTTTCTAAGATGTCTTAATGAGAACTTTCAAGTGTGAGATCCCAAGTTCTGTTTGGTGATGAGTTACCACCCATTGATAGAGTCTTTCAGAGGATGCTCCAGCATGAAATACAGCTGGTTGGCACACAACAAAGCAAAGTCCTTGCTATTGAAAGTATGACTTTAGCAGCACAGAACAACAACAATTCACAAAATCAGGAGGCCTCGACCTTACTGTACCTATTGCAAGTTCTTGGGACACACAGAAGAAACCTGCTATCACAAGCATGGTTGGCCACCTGGAATGAACAACAAGACATCAAATCCTGCTGGGAGGAACATGGAGTGCACATTCTGCAAGAAACAAGGGCACACTGAAGACAAGTGTTTCAGTAAGCATGGTTATCCAAACAGAGAGGACCTCAAAGGGCCAGACCTCAAGCACATGCTGCTGCAAACACGAACTCAGAGGATTTAACTCAAGAGATCAAACTGACCAAGGAAGACTACATCAAGCTATGTCCCTAATGAGTGACAAGGGATCTCAGAAGGCTTCCACCAGCAACAATCCATCTTTTTCAGCTGCAAGTTTCATTACCACACCAGCTGGACCCTCAGGTAAAATTCTGCTCAATGTGAGCCATAAATCACCTCATGATCAGACCTGGATCCTTGACACTACGTTGGACCTCCTGACTGATCACAGAAGGATACACAATACCTTCATCACCTTGCCTACAGGAGATCAAATTCAGGCAACTCATATGGGAATAGTTACCTGTATTGCTGACTTGACCCTACAAGGAGTCTTGTTTGTTCCATAGTTCAGCTTCAATTTGGTCTCTGTTAGCAAGCTAACCAGGAACAAATCCCTTTGCTTGAATTTTTTCTCTGATGTCTGCTTGATCCAGGATATGCAGCTGAGGAGGATGACTGGTTCTGCTAAGCTGTCCCATGGTCTTTACCACTTAGAGCAACCTGTAGATACCAGTCAACCTAAGCATTTCTCTGCTGCCACTTCTCAAGATTTTGATGTTTGGCACTTTAGATTAGGTCATGTTTCACATTCTAAAGTGCCACTTTTGAAAAACCTTTGTCCAGATATAGATACCAACAGTTTTATACCTATGATACTTGTCATTTTGCTAGGCAGAAGAGATTACCATTTTCTTTAAGCACTTCTTTGCTCAACAATCTTTTGAACTGATTCATGTTGACATCTGGGGTCCAAACCCTATACCCAGTTATGATGGATTCAAGTACTTTTTAACAATTGTTGATGATTTTACTCGAATGACTTGGTTGATTTTACTTCCAGCCAAGTCTGATGCCAGACCAAAGCTTCAAGCTTTCTGTTCTTATGTTGAAAGACAGTTTCAAACAACTGTTAAAAAAATCAGAAGTGATCAAGGTAGAGAATTTGAAATGACTGAGTTTTTCAATAGAACTGGCATTCTACATGAGCTGTCTTGTGTTGAGACACCTCAACAGAATAGCAGAGTAGAAAGAAAACATCAGCATATCCTTGTTGCTGCCAGGGCACTCAAATTTCAAGCTAACCTATCCCCTTCTTTCTGGAGTGATCGTGTTAAGCATTCAGTTTTTCTCATCAACAGGGTTCCTACAATTGTTCTGGGGAACCAAACCCCCTTTCAAAAGCTTTATAACAAACCACTAAACTTATCAGACCTTAAGGTCTTTGGATGCTTATGCTTTGCTAGCACATTAGCTAATCACAGAGGCAAGTTTGACTCTAGAGCTAGAAAGGGTGTATTCCTTAGTTTTCAACCTGGGATGAAGGGTTATAAGATATATGACCTTATCACTCATGATATTTTTGTCTCTAGAGATGTGCAGTTCTATGAAAATGTATTCCCATTCAAAGACCAAAACCAGAACCAGACCTCTCCCTATGCCAATCCAATTGATCCTACCATCTTTGATGATTTTAGTCCCACCTATCAACCTCCTACTTCAACCAATCCAGAACCCTTCCTCAATGATCTTCACTTTGATTCAGGGGATGATAACTCCCCGCCTGATTCTCCCACAGAATCTCCACCACCTTTCCCTACCAGAAAATCCAACAGAACTAAAAGACCTCTTACTCACCTTCAACAATACCATTGCAACCTGCTTCAGCAGCTTTCTTCCACCAGTCATCCAAGTCAGCAGCAGACTCTAGGTATCACCTACCCCCTATTTTCTGTCTTGGATTATTCTAATCTCTCACACAACCATCAGAATTTTGCGTTGAGCATTTCTTCTCACAAAGAACCGCAGACTTACAAAGAGGCATGTCAGTATCCTGAATGGAATTAAGCAATGGCAGTTGAAACTACTGCCCTTGATGCCAATCAGACTTGGGATGTTGTTGAACTCCCTCCTGGTAAGAGACCAGTAGGTAACAAGTGGGTTTACAAAAACAAGCATCTTTCTGATGGAAGTTTAGAAAGACAAAAGCTAGGCTGGTTGCTAAGGGTTACAGTCAACAGGAAGGGGTTGATTATCAAGATACATTTTCTCCAATGGTTAAAATGACAACCATTCGACTCTTTCTAGCCATTGCTGCTGCTCAGGATTGGCATGTACACCAACTATATGTGAATAATGCCTTCCTTCATGGTGATCTAGATCAGGAAGTATACATGAAGCTTCCCCCTGGTTACAATCCTCCACCTGGCTTCAAAAACCCTGTGTGCCGCCTAAAAGTCTATCTATGGCCTCAAACAGGCATCACGCAAGTGGTTCACTAAGCTTGATGATAAGCTACAGTCTCAGGGCTATATGCCTAGCAAGGTTGATCATTCACTTTTCTACAAATCATCAGGTTCCTCCTATACCTGTATCTTAATTTATGTCGATGATTTGGTCATTGGAGGCAACAATTTAGCAGACATTCAACAGCTCAAGTCTTTCCTTCATCAGACATTCAGTATTAAAGACTTAGGCAAACTCAAAGTCTTTCTGGGTATTGAAGTTGCAAGAAGCAGCAAAGGCATTCACATTTCACAGAGAAAATATACACTTGAAATCCTTGATGAAGCTGATCTCATTCATTCCAGACCTGCTACTACACCTATGGACTACAAGGTTCATCTATCAGCTGAACACAATGATCCCTATCATGATCCAGAAGAGTACAGGAAATTGGTTGGAAAATTGATCTACCTCACCACCACTCGCCCTGACATCAGCTATGCTACTCAACAAGTCAGTCAATACATGGCTAATCCAAGCAATGATCACTTCAAAGCAGTTGTTCGAATCCTTCGTTACCTGAAGACTGCGTCTTCCAGTGGCCTGTTCTTCTCTGCTAATTCTCCTCTTCATTTGAAAGCCTTCAACGATTCCAAATGGGTTGCCTGTGTTGATACAAGGCGCTCTGTCACTGGATACTGTGTCTATCTTGGTGATTCTCTTGTCTCGTGGAAGAGCAAGAAGCAAACCACAATCTCTAGATCTTCTTGCGAGGCTGAATATCGTGCTCTGGCTTACACCACCTGTGAGCTCCAATGGCTGCTTTACTTGCTTCAAGATTTCCAGATTTCTCATCCACAGCCTGCAACCCTCTACTGTGACAACCAGTCCGCGATCTACATCGCCGAAAATCCAACCTTCCATGAGCGGACAAAGCACATCGAGCTCGATTGTCACTTTGTCCGCGAAAAGCTACTCAATCGCACCATCAAAGTACTCCATGTCTCTTCTACTCATCAATTGGCTGACCTCTTCACCAAAGCTCTCTCCCCAGCACCTTTCTCCTTCCTGCTCTCCAAGCTCGGCGTCCTCAATCTTTGCCGGCTAGCTTGCGGGGAGTATCAGGGGAATGCGAAGGATTTTCGCGCTCTGCCCCATTCAAACCTCCAACGACTCTGAACAGAGACGTTCTCACAGGGAAGAAGGAGAGTCCACCCGACATTGTTTCACCATCAGCTGAAGCCAGGAATCAAAGCGACATCGCTTCATCATCATCCGGAAAACAAAAGCAATGCGACGCCGTTCCAATACCAACTCAAACGAAGACACAACGCACGTGGAGTGACGTCATTTCTGGCAAAATGCCACTTAGTCCTCAAACTTGTTAAAACTACTCTTTTCCTTTTTCGACTGTACTTGCTTTTCTCCCAAGCCTTGTCTTCTTACCTTGTTTTGTAAGGTTTCTGTACTGACTCACGAGCTATATAAGTTGTTAAATGGAATGAGAAAGGCAGGGCTTTAGGGTTTGCTTGATCCATAACGTTGTTATCAAGAAATTACACCGTTATTTTCCGGTTACGGAGGCGGTTAACCGCAAGATTCACAGTGACGGTGGGCGGTTTGGGGCTACAATCGGTGGCGGTTCACCGCATTTTTGCGGTTCAGTTTAACCAAAACCGCACCGCTTAACAGCCCTAAATTCCAGGTACTGGTTCTAAACTGCTAATGCATGTTGAAGCGGCTACCAGCTAGGGATTTAATTTGATCCCTGCGGACCCTGCACATCACAGAATCAAGCTCCTTCTGTACTGTAGCGCATCCATGATACCGAGAGTGAACCAGTAGGCTGCCGTTGATGCACTGAGCGTGTGTGCTTGTATTGTCTTCTTGCTTGCTGCGCTGCTGTTTTTATACATTCCTGGGAATTAATATAAGTTTACTAAGGGCTATGAAGTGGAACCAACATAAAAGCAACTGAGAAGATGAAACGAGATGAGAAGAAAGTGAAAAGAACTCTAATGGTATTGAGATCTGGAAAGAATGAGGTCTTCAACACGTAATTCGACTCGTTGCAGACTAGAAAAGAGAGTAGTTTCAAGCATATGGGGAAGTGAGTTCCACTTAATCAATCAGACTAGCTCTCGTATTCTGAGACGACTTCTGGAATAGCTAGTGCAGGTGCTTCCAACCTGGTAAGAACTTCAGGTACTCCAGCTGCATCCCTCATTATCTGCATCACAAATTTAGTCATAATGAAGATAAGCAGCAGCACAAAATTGAGTAGGTATAGTGCGATGACGAGAATTCGTACCAGTATCTCCTCATCCAGATATGATATCAAGAAGAGCCTCTGAAAGGTACCAGCTGCAAGAAATTAAAAACAACGACCATTAGTTCTTTATAATAACCTCAGCACTGAACACCCGAACATCAGTACACATAATAGTTTCCAAACTCAGACTTGCAAGTTGCAACACAACAACTTTCAGCTCATAGATTTTAATAATTTTATGCAGCAGACAACATAGAAAACGAGAATGAAGTATGACATCATTTAAAAGAGCTAAGTTAAGGCTAAATGGGCCAAAAGAAGACTCAAGTTCTTACATAGTGGAACTCTCAGGCCACCGGCGATAACATCCCTAATGGGAACAGGGAGTTGTTGCACTGTGCTGATAGCCTGGCCAAGCACTCCTTTTAGCTGTTCTGGTACTGTTTCCTCGATGACTTTTGGTGTCTCGAAAATCCCTTCAACATATTCCTCTTTCATTCTAAGGGGACCTTCTACAGTTAACTGCGACGAGAGAGTGACTGTGCTTTCTATCTGCATTACACAAGGCAGAACACCGCCCTAATTAAGCTCGCTGAAACCACACAGATTCAAAGACACACCTACGAGAAAAGAAGTTTAAAGTAGCTACAGGTTCCACCCAGTATATTAACATTTTTTCATAAAGGCTGGAGTAGAAGGGGGGTCATCAGGAAGCAAACTATGAGAAGCGGGCGAATTTGCTCTCCTACGCACTGAATTCATTTTAGCAAGCTTTTCATGTCTCGTTTCTCATTCATCCTGACCTAACAGGAAATGTAAGTTTTGAAATATAGTGGACACGGAGAGTTGTTTCGGGTTTTCATCAACATTTTCTAAATGGACAAGCTACAGAAGTGAAACATTGAGTATAGAAGAATACCGAATACAACAGCTTCATATTCGCTGTGACCCTTGCCTTCCCCTCCTTAATCACCACATCCATGTTTGATAAGTTAGCCAAATTTGAAGGAAATCTCCTGTAACAACAAAGAGTTTAAACCAATAAAATAGACAATATATAGAAGGGCCGAAAATCATTTCCCAGTACTGACATCGACCACCCTATTCAAATGAAATTCCCAGATGAAGCATACATAACAGCAGTAAAGGATGCAACAGCAAAGAGTGCTCACTGAAACAATAGTCTGGCAGCAAACAATCCAGGGCTTCCAGCTCCAAACCACTCGAAATTCCACCGACCTTCCAAGTAAGGAGACCTGTAAACCTGAAGGAACATGTGAGCTACAGAACACACATTCTGGGGGGTAAATGGGGAGTGAAATTTTACACTAACCACCTACGTAGTTGGCCGAGGGGTTGGATTGAGACGCTCAAGACCGGTAATCCTTTCATTCACATCAATCTGCTGAACTTCCGTTAACTTCCCACTGACCAGAGCTTCAAAACCCCCGGCATCTTTGAACTGAATCAATCAACAGTCTGACTTTGATTAGATATGCATGTACAAATTTCGACTTGAAGGACTGTAGTTTTTGAGCAGTGCTTGAATCTAAGAAAAGAGTCATGAACCAATCAATTCAACAAACAGCAACCAAATCTGGCTCTCCATTTCTCAACGAGCAAGCATCACAATCAGACCGAGCAATCATTCATTACAGCGACGTTTGTCAGCATCAAAAGTGATCTTCAGTTGAAACGAAATTCGAATGTTTCCTTTTTCATGAGAACTAAGCATCCATCTCTTATCGTCATCAATTGCTCAAAATATAGTACACGTTCCTTTGACTCAAGACGGGAAACTACTTACAGCGAGAAGCAGCGATTCCTTAGCAGAAAGCCGTTCCATCTCCTTGGCGTAAGCAGCGGGAGCTCCCTGAGCGGCCTGCTGTACCATTGCCCTGCACGGCATTCGTAGCCTGACTTTCCGGCAAGCAGAGGAGGTGCTACTGGTGGTTGCGACGGAAGTCGGCGAGAAGAAGGACGAGTTGCGGGAACGAGTAGCGGGAATTGAAGGAAGCGAGGAGGCGACAGTTGCAGCTGCTGCCGCCATTGCTGTAGATTTTTCAGTTTTTGGCTTTTTGGGGGAAATCGAAATGCAAGCAACGAACAGGCAGAGCGGAATAAATATGTTGGCCGGCCTCAAACGTCAACCTCGCCGTTAAAATCGAAGGATTGGACGCAACGGTCAACGTCGCCGTTAAAACGACCAGGTAAAAAACGTGAAAAAAAATCTAACAAATCACAAGTGGTGGGAACCGATCAGGTCAATAAGTAATAATGAGTAACCCGTCCACATCAGCATGACATTAGTATTCCTCGCTCTTTGACCGTTAAAACGACCAGGTAAAAAACGTGAAAAAAAATCTAACAAATCACAAGTGGTGGGAACCGATCAGGTCAATAAGTAATAATGAGTAACCCGTCCACATCAGCATGACATTAGTATTCCTCGCTCTCTTAGAGGAAAGTCTTTTATCTTTTCATCTTTAATCTTTAATGGACGATTTCTCTCTCGTTTTAAGTCGAAATTTAATTTTTTTTCACAGATAAATCAGATTAAATGTGCTCTTTAAAATGATATCCACTTTGATATATTTTTAGTACAAAAAAGTTGAATAATTTTTTACCAATCATTACCGTATGGTATGCTCCTACTTAATACCTATACCATATGGTAAGAAAGTGTACCATGATGGTATGAACATATCAATACGGTAAGAAGGTTGAATACATCATAGTAGGAGTGTACTAAGTGTCATTTACGACTTTCACCATTGTTTACTACAAGTTACCGCCCAGATACCAGTGGTAAAGTATGGTAATTTTTGGTCCAGTATTTTTTTCACCCAGAAATTTGTAGATCCAATAGATCATGATAAACTAGTTCCTTCTGAGCAAACGTTTTCAAAAAGACTTAAAAATGAAGAAGTTACCATATGGTATGTAGTTGGTAAAAAACGTTTCTCGAAATATATTGTAAATTGATATCATTTTGTAGAGCACAACAACTCGTTGCATCTGTGCAAAAAAAATTGAAATCCGAGTTAGAACGAAGATGATAAGAGTCAATTATGAAACTAGGAAAAATAAAATGCCTTTGATTGGAAACCCTTAGATCTGGATTTTCTGGGCCCACTTAGATCTAAAGGTTCAGATTTAGTTACTCATAGGTCAGTAACCATATCCTAAGCCACAAGTGGTGATGCGGGGTATTGAACGGGAGCGGATCAGGTTAGTAATCTTATTGTGAGTAATCATACGTAATCCGTCCACATAAACATGACATCACCATTACTCTCTCTTATGGAAGATCTTTTATCTTTTCCACTTTAATATTTAACGGGGAGTCGAGTCGATAAGCCCCTCTTGTTTAGGTTGTTCCTATTACTTCGGTATGTCCTACCGCAGCAGGGGTAACCGTCTGCAGAATCAATAGAATCGATTGAACCCAACTGACTCAACATCTTCTGGGTCTACTAGTTCCGGACCTGGAGCTGCTCGTGCTAAAGATATGCCGACGAACGATTTCTCTCTTGTTTTAAGTCGAAATTTAAATTTTTTGCACAAATAAATCAGATTAATTGTGCTCTTTAAACAAATATCCACTTTGATATATTTTTAGAACAAAAAAAAAATTGAGTCATTTTTACCAGTCAATACCATATGGTATGCTCCTATTTAATACCATATGGTAAGAAAGTGTACCATAATGGTATGAACATACCAATATGGTAAGAAGGTTGAATACTGATTCGAGCCTAATTGTACATGTTTTGCCCCGTTTTACTTAGATATGTGTGCCAAATTCACTCCTAAAAGGTTGGTTTTACGCTAGGTTTCTCGTGTTTTAGTGTATTTCGGGATTTAACAGGTGAAACCAGCCTCAGAGTCGAAAGATTGGCGAAAGGATCAAAACCGGGAGAAGAGGTGAAAAAGGTCCAGTTCACGGCTAATTGAGGAAGTTCACGGTCTTGCATGACTGTGAAGAAGAGCCATGGACCTTGAATCATGAGGCGTCCAGAGCCAAAGTGGAGGTTACTGACGCAAGGCGAGTTCATGGTCACTAAGACCTTGAACAAGGGCAGTTGACCGTGAGCAGAAGTGAATGATGCGGGGCGTTTTGGTGCACGCCTGAAGTTCTCGGACGCGTTTCATGGTTCACGGCTGTGAACTCAGCTCGTCTCGGGTTTAAATGATGAGCTGAAAGGAGGAGAGAGGGGAGAGCCCATTTGTGTGTGAGAAGCCTTCTTCAACATTCTAGTGAGAGATACACGAACCAAAGGGAGAAGAAGGTTAGGGTTTAGCTTCAAGGCAGATTTTGGGAAGATTTCCTCCAAGAAAAGCTCAACTCAAGGGCCGAGAAGACCGTGATCATCCTCCAAGATGGTTTCCATCTCTTTCCCTTTTGTTTTTCCAACTTCTAGCATGGAGTAGACCTCATTTCACTTGGATGTTGTGAAACCCTAACTCTACCATGTAGTTTTCTTTTATGTGTATTGGATGATTGTCATTGGGTATTGTTCAATTCAATGATTGAGGCAGTATTTATCATGATTGTGCATGCTTGTGCTTAGAAACTTAGGGTTGTGCATGTTTTGTGCTTAGCACCCTTAGGTTTGTGCATGTAGGTGCTATTAGTCTAATTAGCCACCTTAGCCTAGCTTAGAGAGGAAAATACTCCTTTTCAAGGGAGACTCAATCGAGTTGGTTTTCCTTCCGTTGTCTAAGCCACCTAAACTAGGTTAAGTTAGGGAAACCCTCGATATTGAGTTAAGCAAGTTGGTTAATCGCGATTAAGCCGTCCGAAAATCTGCCTTTCATGTTACCGATTGTCTAAACTAAGAGGGTCGAGTGACACGACCTCTCATGTTTACCTTAGTTTATCAATTGAGATTGTGGTCCCCGACCACATATGCATCCCTCTGCGATTCACAATCATCGTGCCCAAAGCAATCGTTCCAATCCACGTAGCATGGTAGCAGTTAGGGGAAGTGACACCTGAGTGATCTTTCCACCAAAGAATTATCAGAACCATTTACCTTTGCTTTCTTTCATTTCAATTAGCAAAACTTTAAAGCAAACTTTTTTGCTAGATAATGATTTCAACAAGTGAAGTAGGGTAGAGGACCGGCCCGGGTCGATATCTAAATACTTGTCCTATACTGCACCCGACTAGAGTTTAAAACTTGGGCTCTAGTTGGGGTTTTATTATGGTGTAGTTTCGTGCGAGTCAAGTTTTTGGCGCCGTTGCCGGGGGAACGGTCGGTTATCTTGAAAAAGTTGTTGATTGTTAATCTAGCTTTTAATTTCCAGTTTTGCAAGTGTGTGTGCATTGCTTGTGCTAGACTTGGTGTGTTTTCCGATTGTGTGTAGGTGGTGCATGACCCAGAGCAACCCGACACCTTTGCTACCACTTGACAAGGACATAAATCGGACTCTCCGACTCCTAGTACGTGAGAGAGAGATAGCGGAGGCAAGGAGAAGGAGTGAAAGAGGGGACAACGTTTGGGTCTCGGTGTTGTAGATAAGTAGTTGAAGAAGTGGAAGTTGAACTTGTCATAGAAGTGGAAATGGCGGGGAACCAAAGGCAAGATGTGGCTCAAGCCCGCCAGTTGAACGATGCAGCGGAGGAAGAGGATGCCCCAAGGATAATGGGGTACTATATGGCCCAAGGCCGGCGGACATTCAATCGCCAATCATACATCCTCCAGTGGCGGCAAACAATTTCAAGATCAAGCCGGCTCTAGTGACTATGATACAAATAATGCTCTATTCCACGGCCTTGAGATCGAGTCACAAAGAGAGCACGTGAAGAGATTCTTGGAGCTCGCGGGGAGCTTGAAAATTAATGGTGTACCGGCCGAAGCTTTTCAACTAAGGCTTTTCCCATATTCACTCTCGGGGAAAGCACTAAGGTGGCTAAACAACCGCCCACCTTAGTCTATCACCTCATTGGACGACCTCCTCAACAAGTTTATGGCTCGTTATTGCCCGCCTTCGAAGACGGTGGAGTGGAGAAAGAAGATTACACATTTCGAGCAAGAAGAGGACGAATCCTTGAGGGATGCTTGGGAGAGGTACTCCGATTACTTTCTTCAATGCCCTCACCACGGGTTTGAAGAACAGTTTCAGATCGAAACCTTCTATGGAGGTCTAATGCAAGAAGATAAGATCCTCATTGACTCCTTGTGTCAAGGGAAGTTAATGAATATGGCTCCGCCCCAAATAACCGAGATACATGAAGATATGGCCCTTAGGGGTATGATTGGGGTTGACTAGAAGTAGAAGAAGGAGCAGTGATAGAGGAGTGAGAAGCATGGGAGCGAGTGCTCCGCTTGAGGCGAAGTTGGATAAGTTGCTTTAGGTTATGCTTGAAGATAAAAGGCAAGGAAAATGGGCGGTAATGTCGTGCGACTGGTGTTCGAGCACTAGCCACGAGATGGCGGAGTGCCAAGCAATGAAGGAGGAAACCACTCAGGAGGAACAAGTTAACTTTGTGGCAAATGCTAGGGTGAACAACCCGTATAGCAATACTTATAACTCCGAATGGAGGAACCACCCCAACTTTGCTTGGTCATCACCGAATAATCCGAGGCCCCCGGGTGTCCAAGGCCCCACGGGGAACTTCCAACCTCGGCCCACCTTCATCCAACAAAGACCCCAACTCCAAGGCTCAAGCTTCCAAGAACCGTACCAATCACAAGGTGACCTAGGGTTTCATCAGCAACATCGACCCGACAAGTTATCCAAGCTTGAAGACCTAGTGAACACCTTCGTGAGTACGAGTAGCCAAAAGTTCGAGAAGATAGAGCAATTCATGGATGTGGCGAATACCAAGTTTACCTTGGTTGAGGCGGGTCTTGAAGCCATCAAGCGAGCCTCCAAAGCTTGGAGGTGCAAATCGGCAATCTTGCCGGCATCCTCAACGAGAGACCCAAGGGAGCTTTACCTTCCCAAACCATGACGAACCCCAAGGATCAAATCGGGGTGAATGCACTTCAAGTGAGGAGTGTGAAGGTGGTTCCGGAAGTCGCCACGGAAGAAGCAATAGAGAATGAAAAGTATAAATATTTATCATTATCGCGATTGTTATTCTTATTCAAGATCTCGTTGATCTAAGGCCACCTGTGGAAGTAGAACTTA